GGTGAGCGGAGTCTGTGACGCTACTCATTCAACGTCAGTACCTGACCTTACTAATGCTGTTATGGCTGAATGCAATCAAATCCTCACAGCAATGCTCCAACATGTATGTAAAGCCTTCCTAGAAGAGTAGAAACTGTTCCTACAGCAATGGGAGGGCACACTCCTTATGAATACCCTTGATTTAAAAAAAAACATAGGACGGGGTGTCTACAAACCTTTAGACATATAATGCTTTTCCACCTTTTAACCCACTCCCCTTTAATAATGTGCTTTCTCTGTGCTGTTATATTTTTGACTTGTAACCAATACAAAAGCCGTGCTCATGATGTCAGGTCAACACAAGCAAAGGATTTTATTAGTACAATAGATAGTGCAGGCCTGTCACAATGATGGTCATAAATATCTGAGCTGATCACAAACATTTTTTCTGCGCTTATTTTCCATAGTTGACAGCTTTAACAATCATACATCTACAATGCAACAAAAAGAAAGTCAGTTGACTATATTTTCATTAGTTAGGTTGTGGCAAGTATGTGTAAATTAAAGAAAGCTTTTGGAGGACATTTTTAGACAGGGCACAGGAGTCTTTTACAAAAACAACAAAAGTTTTAACTTCTGACAGCTATAACACCTTTAGAGGGCAACGTTGAGTAATGTTTGTTTATTTGAGCTCAAGGTGTTTCTGCTGTCAGGTGGAGTTATCAACAGTAGGGATGCATGTTGACTGGCCAAGATGTTTGTAAATTGGCCAAATTATTTATTTATTTTTATTTATGCTACCATTTTATGATGTAGTTAATGTGAGGTAGGTCAGTGTGCAAGCACTGTATTTGAATGCTGTTGCCACACCTATAACCAAACTTACTTTCAACGTAGCACTTTTTTATTCATAGTATTTAAAAAGAGCAAATAATCTTATTTATGTTGTAACTCTGGCTAATAGAAAGTACTGAAAATGCGCTAGTTTGTTTCAGGTGCTTATTTAGACCACACAGTGTGAGCTTTGTGAAAAATAAAAAGCTTAATTAAAATCGCCAAAAAAAAAGGTCTCTGTCCAATTTGGCTGTAAAGAAATCAGAATCGGTCATAAAAATGAATGATTGGAGTACTGAGGGATGGATGCAAACCTAATCTAGGAAGCCAGATAGTTAATGAGCTAATCATTGTACTTTAACAGTCACATGAACGAAAAAGACAGATAAGTAAATTATTCATTGTGATTATGTATATCGTTGGTGTTGGAACAAAACAGTTTTCCTAAATGGTAAAGAAAAAAGATACTTTGCTTTTAATGTAAGTTAATGGAACCAGAATTTTTTTCCAAGCCATTTTGGGCTGTTTCTTTAGGTTCACTCATCATGGAATTTGCACACAATATAAAGGGCAACAGACATTTTCAGATTGTATCAAAAACTGAAAAACTGGGAATACGAGGTTTTGTTCCGACAGCAGCGATATGGTAGTTGATCATCAGCTAAAACATGTCAATTTATTATATTTATAACAAGTTATTTGGGGAAGGGGTGGTATTTTTTCCCCTCTCCTGTGTTTTGAAGGGCAAAAATGAATATGGGGTCTTTTTTTGTCCTTTGCTGCTAGTTATATCTGACACTGGCAGCACACTCCCTGTCTCTTTTCCTCCCTCTCCATTTCTTGCTCTTCCTCTCTGGCTCACTCCTTGTCCTCTTTTTTTCATGCAGTATCTGTGGTTGGGTTAAGTGGATCAGGTAGCAGGTGTATCGCACAACTCTGGCCCACCCTAGTGGAGGTCACTGAAAGAGGTCGCTGTCATAGCTCACCTCTGTCCAGCAGATCGGCTCAGATGAAGCCAAGGCTGAGTGACCACCACAGGATGTGTGTCATTTCACCTCTTTTCTCTCTCTCTTTCTCTTTTTTCTCTTTTCCACAATTCTCCATTATCCGGGTTCTTTGTTCTTGTAATGGTTCTCCATTTCGCACATCTCTCCTTCAAGAACACAAAATAACCCTTTAATGCTTAGAGAGGCAGAGAGAAACCGCCCTGGCCTTGAGGGTAATAATCCTTGAATTACCCACCCAAGGGTTTTCGTTTCAAGATGTGGAATCTTCAATTATTACTCGGCCATTTGGAGAGGAGGGAGCGGGCCGGATGGACAGGGATGAGACAGTGGTGGTAATGGGAAGGGGAGTGAGGGGGGCTTTGTTCAGCCACAACACACTCAGCGGAGCACCTTGCCGACTGCATGTGCCTTCTGGGCCACACAAAGGATAAAGGTGAGGCACTGATAGATTTTTAGAGCTATCCCACAATAGAAAAGGCCTGCCATCATAACTGGCAGAGGGAGAGGAGGAGCAAAAGAATGAAGGAGTAGAAAGTATAAGAAAGTGATATTCTGACATTCACCACTGTTTTCTTCTTTAGGATTTGTTCTTAGGTAAGAACAGAATCTATTCACACAAGAGCACAAAGCTGTGAACAATTCTGCTTCTTTAAGAACACGTCATGAATCTGACATACACTTTTTCTTAGGACCTTTCTCAAGAACAAATTGAAGAAAAACACTTGGGAAGATATAGATGAATGAGGCCCAAAGTTTTTCATCATAAATGTCCTTTGATGTCATGTAAATAAAATAGATTGAAAGTTTGTTGTTCTGATATTAGCTCTCCCACCTTGTGCTTCTTTTTACTAATCACATTTATTTTGATTTTACATATTGTTATGTATTTATGTGAGAAATGCTCAAAGAACATAGAAGTGTACTGAATTAACAGTGTTTGCATCAATTTACCAAACATTTAGCGACTTTTACAATTAATAATTACTCCTCAGTCTGTTATAATTAACCCTGCCTATGGGGTAAGCAGCATTTGTAGTATTTGTACTTGTCCCACTTTTGGCTGAATTGTTCGCAATAAATAACATTGTAAATACAATAAATAAAAATATTGCCAAAAAAGTAAAATGTCTTATGTTGTGCCCTGCTCTCCTCTATAAGTACTCTACTATATTTATATTTCCTTGTTTTAAACAGTCTAATATTACACACTGCATTGTAAGTGATAGTGAACATGTGTTAGCTAGCTTTTCTCCAACAGCATTTATCTGACTTTCTGCTAGCCTTAAGTTAGCTAGGTACAGTAAATTCTAAGATTTTTCATAAGATATAAGATTTAAAATGCATATTCTTATTCAGTGGAATATTTTGATAGTTACTTTCTGACAGACAGCATTCAAGAATTCACCTGCTTTTTCCTTCACCAGTATTAAGATACCTAGCTAACATAAATTATTCATAAAACATTTATTCAAGATAAAATACTATTTTACAAATAATAATACTGTATTCTACAGGCCTATTTGCATAGTTAATCATGAGTGCACAGCTGTGTGTGTGAGTGCGTGCGTCCTTTCTGGTCACAGGAGCTATGTCCTCCAAAATTATCCCAGAAGGTGAGATTCATCTGCCACATGAGACGCGCTATTTGCAGAATAAAAAACACCCTTTATTTACGGAGCTCTCTGCAGTATGTCCTTCACTCAAAACAAAGCGTGAATGTCTGATAGAGAGGGAGTCCTTTATCAGAGCGGAGAGGAAAAAAAAGAAAGAGGCCTGGACCCAGGCAAAGCGCATGTTTGAGTTTATTGATTTCAGATGAAGTGGCATGCTATTCATCAAGCATCAAATAATCATCAACTCCCAACGTTAATAATATTCTACCATGAGAAAAGAAGGAGATGCAACAGGTTACACCAGATGTAGACTGGAGTCTAAAGCTCTGGAAGCACATAAGCTCAAGAGGAGGTCCTTTCAGAACACAGAGAGCCCGTTGAGGCTGCGCAGCCTGGATGAATTTTTCTCCGTATTTCTTGCTGTGTGTTAGCCCTTGGGCTGTGCATGAAACAAGCTTGATTTTGAATAGCTGAAGATATTGTTAAAACAAAACAGGGATTTGACGCAGCCCAAGCAAGCCAAAGAAAGCTGAGAGATTCTAAAGTTCGAATCAATATTCAATGGCAGGGCTCTGTTTTTTGAGGGGGGCTGTGTAAAAAGATTGTTTGAAGAGTTGTTCGAGGACAAGATCTGAAAATTTGGTTTGTGTGTGCATAAGAATCCAACAAGAAAACCCAAACTGGTGTGTCGTGTCACGGGACTCAAGTAACAGTGATAGCATTACAGATTACATATTACAGAAGTCTCCCATTACCTCAAATGTAGTCAGTCAGCCAAGACATGTTCAGGATCTGAAGTTTGTTTCTTTGGTTTTGCACTGGTTTAGCTTTGAAGCTAATGTAGCTAAAAAGTAATGGAAGCTCATAATCAACCAATTAGCAGTGCACAAACTGTATGCCTAAAATATTACCCCTTTGCCTAAAACCATGTTGAGTTGTTAAGTAATCTCAAATAGACTCGCTTATGTGGTTTGTGACACTGTATGACAAAATAATCTTAAAAAAGATGGTTCTTCGGGGGGTTCTTTAGTAAAGAAAATGGTGCTATATAAAACCATGAACACTCAAAGAACCCTCTGCATGATTAAAGTGTTCTTTGTATGATTAGAGCGTTCTTGAGGTTGATGGAGAATGTGCTGTCGTTGGCTTTATATAGAACTTTCTTGAAAAGGTTTCGATACAGCACCAAAAAGCGTTCTTCTATTGTTACCATGTCAAGCTTCTAATAATAGAAGAACGCTTTTTGGTGCTATATCGAACCCTTTTCAAAAAGGTTATATATAAACTCTCTATAGCACATTCTACATCAATCTGAAGAACGCTTTCATGATGCAAAGACCCATTTAATTATGCAAAGGGATCTTTGCTAGCTGCATTAGCCTCATAGCTCCAGAACTAAAGGAAAAACTTCAGATAGCAAATATATCTTGGCTGATCAGCTGCATTTGGTGTAAGGGATAAACTGCATAAACATTATGAACAATTATGAACATCTTTAAAAACAAAGGCTAAACTTTTTACCTTTAAGTAAATACAACAACTGAAACAGACATGCGACTCCCCTGACCTGCTAGCATTGAGCTTCAGCTTCTCCTCAGTGTCACGGATCAGATGCTGGAGGTCCACTTCGCCTGGGACATCCGACATAAGCAGATCCACAAAGGCATGATCGTGTGGGAAGTCACCCAGCCATTCCATCTCGCTGCCTTAGAAGAGAGGTACACAAGAGTCTTCATCAAACAAATGAAAGAGTAGTACTGTTTGTCTACTGTACATGCGTTTCCTCCTTTTCTTTTCTATCACTCTCACTCTCTGTCTCCTCTCTCTCCCTCTTTTATTCTCTCTTTTTCCTTCTTTCTCTTAAGTGTGCTTAGGTGTAACACAATTACATTAACCCCTTTAATAGCCAGGGCCCACTGGCAGGCCCAAAGTCTTATTATACACTTGTATAACTTAAGAATAGCTCAGCCAATTTGCATTAAGTCCCTGTAATTACTGAATAATAAGCCTCAGTATTTAATAAGCCTGAGATTTTAAGGGGTTAAAGTAAATATCTATTAACTTTACCTTGACTTTTATAGCACCCTAAATAAAATACACATTACTCATCATAAATGCCTTAAAGGTACCACTAGTGAGAAGTGGCACTATTACATTAGTGTTGCTATTCTGTTTAAATGGAATTACGTAATTATATATATCATTAAACACTGAATTAAGCAGTGAGTTATATGAATATTTGATATACATGCAATACTGACACTACTGAGTCTACAAGACATGTTTTTTTTTTGTTTCATAGTCAAGAAATGACAAAAATAAGGCAAAAAAACAAAATAACAGACTACTTTTGGAATCCTAATGCAAAATAGACAATACGCACAACAATAACTTGTACTCAAATTTAACTAACCACTTAAATTCCCAAGCTTATTACATCCTAAGGTTAAAATTCAGTAATACAGCACCGTGCAAAAGTCAGAGACCACAATTAATTTATTTAATTTCCAGTCAAAATAGCAATTAAGCACAAGTTATTGATTTTTCAGAGTCAAAACATATATTTATTTATTTTTCTTTTTTTCCAAATCTTAAGCAAGAGTGGAGACTGATTTTCTCCTACTCTACAAAGATGAAAGCTTTAAGTGCTGTTTATCTGATAGTAACAGTTCTGGTGGTCAACCAGGTCTTGCATGATTGACAGGAGTCCTTATTTTCTCTCTCTTTCCTTTCTTTTTTATTACTTTTTCAGTTTTGGAAGCTCCTGTTTCTTCTGTTATTTTTATTTGACTTCTCCCTTTTATGTAAGTGGATTATCTTATATCCTATTTCCTGATAAATATTTCCTGAAAAATAAATAACTTGTACTTAATTGCTCTGTAGACTGAAAATGAAATAAATTAAGAGTGGCCGCTGACTTTTGCAGTACTATATAATGACAACAATGCAAACTGGCTGCATTATACAGTGGTTAAATTATCATACAATACCTCCTTTTCTATGCACAAACTTAGCATTGAAAGTTTGGCACTTCCGACAGACTTTCTCTGCTTGTCTCAATGAGGGTTCATGAGAAATAATTCACATGAATTCACACCAGCTTTTGTTATTGCTGCTGATAAGTGCAGCTTCTAAGGGTTTAGGCAGAACTTGTTCCTAATCCTTATTCAAACACTACTGAGAATCAGCTCCACTGTTACCAAACATCTTTAGATTGTCTATAAAGGACTACTCAAATAAAATGAAAGCATCTCTTCACAACGTATACACATGCTCAACAGAGAAAATGTTTACATACTACATTTGAGTTTTGAAAACTTGGTAAGATCCATTAAGGAAGCACTCCCTGCCTTAAAAATCACTGCAGCTGAAACAGCTACTTAGTCCCACACTTGGATTCTATGCTTGCTGCATCAGTAAGGACCCAGGCCTAGCTTCTGGAGAGCCACTGAGAAGAAAACTCCTTTTGACTGTAATAGACGTCTGCTTATGTACAGTACTTGTCTGAATGACATCCATTCCAGCAAAGTCTCGCTGTTGATGAAACACATCCTGCGGCATACGCAACGGCTCATGAGATGTGATGATTTGATTTCTTCTCCAACAAGATCCTTATCAGGAGCTGTACATCAAGCCCACCTGAACCAAGCTGCTGGAAATCATCTCCTATAAGACTCCTCGACCCTTCTGTTATCTATCAATCTCTCGCTTTCTTTCTATCTTTCTCTCTCAGCCAAAAACGGATGCTTTTCAATTTCCACTCAGGCTCAGCTGTAATAACTGCATATCTAAAAGACAGGGCTCCATCCAAAGAGAATCAACTGCCAACACGCTGCTCATCTGTACTTTAAATAAACAATCTATTTACTCCCCCCACCGCCCCTCTCTACAAGACTCTCAGTGTTCAACACCTGCACCAAACACAAGGCCAGCATTTGGGAGGTGGGGGAGGGGACTGAATGAAAGACAGACTGAAATATTCAATAAAAAGAGTGAAAGAAAAAATGAGAGACAAGCAGAGTGAGGGGGTAGACAGAGAGAAATAAAGAAAGAGAAAGAGATAGAAAGGGAGAGAGAGTGAAAGAGAGTGAGAGAGAGAAAAAGAGATGGAGAGACAGAAAGATTAAGAGGAAAAGAAAGAAAGGAAAAAACAAGAGCAAAAGAGAGGACAGGAGAGAAGAGAGTGAAACAAAGACTGAATGAGAGAAGAAGAGAGAGAAGGAAGGAGAAAGAGGAAGAGATAGAGAGAGACGGTGACAGAAAACGAGAGGAGAGAAAAAGAGGAGAGAGTGAAAAAAGACTAAAAGAGAGAAGAGAGAAAGAAGTAGAAAGAGGAAGATAGAGACAGAGATAGAAAGAGAGAGAAACAAAGATAGAGGAGAGAAAGAGGAAGAGAGACAAAAAGATAGAAGTTATATAAAAAGAAAGAAATCAAATAAGACAGTGATACAGGGACAGTGAGAAGAGAGATAAAAAGCTAAAAAGCAAAAGAATAAGAGAGAAAAGAGAGATAGAAAAAGATGAAGAGAGGCTGATAGAGAGAGAGAAAGAGAGAGAGAGAGCATGGTGAGAGAAAGTGCTAGAGAAAGACGAAAGAAAGAGAGAAAGACGAAAGAGAGACAGAGAGAGAGAGAGAGAGAGAGAGAGAGAGAGAGAGAGAGAGAGATATCATGGGTGAGAGACAGGGCTAGAGAAAGACGAAAGAGAGAGAGAGAGAGAGAGAGAGACAGGTAGAAAAAGAGAGAGGGAGAGAGATATAAAAGGGAGAGAGAGAGAGAGAGAGAGATACAGTATCTGAGGGTGTCATCATGAGTCAGATGGAGTATAATGGAGAGTGTCAGTGTCAATTTAGCTTTGCTGCCACTGCTTCCTCCTTCATGTGGGCTGATTTTAATAATCCCTGTCAAACTCCAAACAGCCCGCGCTACCTCCCTGACACCACGCGCTCTTCTCCGAGCGCAGACAGAAATCTCAACATTAATTTAACCCGCACAAAAGAGAGAGGCTGTCCGGCTGGACAAATATTATTTCCCTCAGCTGACAGATTCGGCAGTTAAGCTTTGCGCTTTTATTATTTCCTAAACTCTATATGAGCCTCCAAGTCGCCTTGCTGTATCTGCAGTGGAGAGAGAGAGAGAGAGCGCTTGAGTTCGGGAGGGTTTTTACAGGCCCAGGATTAGGAACTCTACAGTGTAATTACACTGGGACCGAGTGAGTCATTGTGTGTGTGCGAGTGCAGCGTGTGTTACAAAGGGATGTGCATCGTTGCCGGTGTGTGATCCACATGAGAGTTGTGGGAAAAGTGTCAGGTTCAGCCTGTCACCACACAGGGCCTAATTAGGCAGATGCTCGCTCCATCTTCTTTGTCTTGTTAGCTATTTTGAACTCAGATGTTGTGGAGTCTCCGAGTAGTTCTGAGAGATGCCACAGGAGAGCGAGAGCGAGCGAGAGAGCGAGTGAGAGAGAGAGAGGCTGAGCTACAGTTCAGTGTCTGTGTGTGAGACATGGGGCAGATGTATTCTCCCAGCACTTAAAGTGAAACAAGCATGCCTCTAACTCACCCTCACACATACTAGCCCACTTAGCCTGGAGAAGGTGTGAAATATTTAGCAGCCAGTGCCTCTACTGGCGTTTTAAAAAGCCCTCCGACATGTTCGCTTAAAGCTAAATGCCCTAAAATGGAAGGTATTTACTTTTAAGGAAACATAATAAATTAAACAGGCACACCATTTCACCAGGAGCCGTTTTGGAGAACAATCTAATTTTCTCGCAGAACCACCCCATAGTTTGCCGCACCATGGCTCTAAAACTCCTAAATAAATGTGATAAATGATGAGACATACGATTTAATGATTATAAATCATGAAGGAGGGATGAATTTTCGAACTGTCCACATAGTATTGTTATGTTCTGTGAAAATATCCCTAGTGCACAATGCATTTAGGGTTAGAGTGGGAGTGGCATCACTGTATTATACTACCACTATTGCCACAGTACTAAGACCTCTATCATGTTCATGCAGCCTGTAGCAGTGGCAAAGTCATAAATACAGGCCTTTAAAAAGTAGGTAAGCCACCTAGTTAGGTTTTCTTTGCAATACAACACAAATGTGCTGTCCAGCTATGTCCACACCTTCGCTGATGGCAGTGCAGGCAGGGAGTTAGTGAGGGAGGGAGGAAGTGAGGGAAGAAGGGAGTAAAGGAGGGAATGAGGGAGACAGGGAGGGAATCAGGCAGGGAGGGAGGGAATGAGAGAGGAAGGAATGAGGGAGGGAAGGAGGGAGGGAGGGAATGAGGGAGGGAGGGAAGGAGGGAATGAGAGAGGGAGGGAGGGAGGGAATGAGAGAGGGAGGGAGGGAGGGAATGAGGGAGGGAGGGAATGTGGGAGGGGGAGGGAATGAGGGAGGGAGGGAGGGAATGAGGGAGGGAAGGAGGGAATGAGGGAGGGAGGGAGGGAATGATGGAGGGAATGAGGGAGGGAGGGAGGGAGGGAAAGAGGGAGGGAGGGAAGGAGGGAATGAGGGAGGGAGGGAAGGAGGGAGGGAGGGAGGGATGAGGGAGGGAGGGAATGAGGGAGGGAATGAGGGAGGGATGAGGGAATAGGGAGGGAATGAGGGAGGGATGGAGGGAATAAGGGAGGGAATGAGGGAGGGAGGGAGGGAATGAGGGAGGGAGGGAGGGAGGGAATGTGGGAGGGGGAGGGAATGAGGGAGGGAGGGAAGGAATGAGGGAGGGAAGGAGGGAATGAGGGAGGGAGGGAGGGAATGAGGGAGGGAGGGAGGGAATGATGGAGGGAATGAGGGAGGGAGGGAGGGAGGGAAAGAGGGAGGGAGGGAATGAGGGAGGGAGGGAATGAGGTAGGGAGGGAAGGAGGGAATGAGGGAGGGAGGGAGGGAAGGAGGGAGGGAGGGAGGGAGGGAATGAGGGAGGGAGGGAGTGAGGGAGGGAATGAGGGAGGGAGGGAATGAGGGAGGGAATGAGGGAGGGAGGGAATGAGGGAGGGAGGGAGGGAATGAGGGAGGGATGAGGGAGGGAGGGAATGAGGGAGGGAGGGAGGGAGGGAGGGAATGAGGAGGGAGGGAGGGAGGGAGGGAATGAGGGAGGGAATGAGGGAGGGAATGAGGGAGGGAGGGAATGAGGGAGGGAATGAGGGAGGGAGGGAATAAGGGAGGGAGGGAGGGAATGAGGGAGGGAATGAGGGAGGGAGGGAGGGAGGGAGGGAGGGAATGAGGGAGGGAATGAGGGAGGGAATGAGGGAGGGAGGGAATGAGGGAGGGAGGGAATGAGGGAGGGAGGGAGGGAGGGATGAGGGAGGGAGGGAGGAGGGAGTTTGTTAAGAAGTTGCCTGTTAGTTCTCTCTGCTATGTACTGCTAGGCTAGCTTTACCTGCCCCACACCTTTTCACCTTCTACCTGTTTTAAATGAAGTTTAGCTTAAGAGCACGAAACTGAACACAAATACAGACATGCTTTGGAACTTCAACTTGGAGAACAATCTAATTTTATCACAGGACCTGCCTTCATCTACAAACCTGATGTACTTTTGTCTATTTTTTACATTATAATGTGTCATAAGAAAATCTATTTGACATTGATTCAGAACTCAACATGATTTGAGGCAAACATATGATCATTTAGATGCAGTTTGCACAATGCTAATTTGTGAAGTATAAGTTTTGATTACTCCTTAGCTACATTAGCCTAATAGCTCCAGCGCAAAACTAAAGAAGCAAACTTCAGACTCCAAACATCCTCCCTGATCAACTAATTTGGAATAGTGGGAAAATTGTGTAATTAGATTTTTTGCTGAACTATTTGAGGCCAGTGGCTGAAACAGGCAGACACCCACAAAAATGTACATTTCTAAATGTTAATTAACTGATGACGTTATACATTGCAATTGTTTTGCTTAAGTAATATCTACATTTTCCAAACAATTCACCACTGACTGACATGAGGGTTGTGGAAAACAATGGCCACCTAGCAGACCTCAGTTAAACGGGGCCATATCATGGAAAACTACATTTTCTTTCTTATTTATTATTTATTTAATAAATAAATAAATAAATAAAAAAAAGTTTGATGTAATATGCAAACATAGTTCAAAAACTTTGGATTTCCGAGTCCCTGCTGTCCATACATGGAAAATAAGCTGCAAAAACTACCTGATTTAAAATGACTGTTTTTGTGATGTCATAAAAACGAAGGCATTTACATATATCAGTCTACTCAGCCTACAGGAGTTTAGACCATCATTTCAATACAGAGCAGCCAATCAAAAAGACCTGTATCAGTTTTAAAAGCACAGTACCAAAACAGCCTATTTAATTCTAAGGGATAAAGAAAGGTTGGTAACGGTAGTTTTAAAATGTATTATAACTTACTTACTTACTTACTGACTTATTTACTTATTTATTCATTCATTCATTTATTGGGTACATAAAGTCACACAAACTTCATAAGTGGACCTCAAGAGGAAAATAGTTACAAGAAAAAGTTAGGATATGGGCCCTTTAATGTGCCGTCTCTTATGTCTATATTTGCATGACGTGTCAGTATTGACAATGACAGACAGACATATTCAGTCACACTATAAAGACACTCGTTCTTGTTACTGTACCTTATTCTGTAGGATAGTCAGTGGTACTCCAACTCCAAGCAATATAATCCTTATCGTCATTCTGTACATTTCATTTCAGCTCCGAAAAATTTACTGCGTGCCAAAACTGATATGGTGAATGCTGATATCTCCGGGCTACTGAATGAAGATGCTTGTGCTGCTAGACTGTCATGCTGTTCAAATACTAAAACATTACCAGAACTCTCTTCAAGGTGATTTAATCCAATAATATTCAACGAAGAGCAAAGCGAGGGGTGAAACTGCCGAGGGGAAAAGCTTAACATGCAATGTTATACTACAGTGAGGGACTGGACTAACGTTAGCTGCCAGCTGACAGACTTGCTAACAGGGTTTAACGTTAGTATATGGGGAAAGGAGTTAAGTCACGTTAGCGTAGTTTTCTCGTTAGCTAAGCTTACAGAGCCAGCAAAACGAACAAAGCCAACTTTAATGTGTGCCAGGCGCACAGAAGCAAAGACCGTGGACGCTAAAGAAGACAAACTGCCATTTAAAACACTCTGTTTCTGTAAAACACGTCGCCCCTCAACGCAAAAGCGTCTCTAACAACCAGCACCATGGAGCTCCTTCTCTAAACATCCTGTTCGTGGAGCAGCACAGACCATCGAGCACATAACGAGGGGGTGTTTGTACAACCAAATCGTCGTCGGCGTTTTAATGCTCATTTTCCCTGTACTGCTTTCACTTCTTTGTTTAATATTAGTTCAACAATCGCAAAAATGTACTTAATACCCGTGCTGGAGAGAGAGAGTGGAAATATACAGTTCGTGCGTATAAAAACGCACCCTTGTTTCTCAGCACCCTGCGCGGTAAGACAGTCCACCTGTCATGTGATTAGACATGGACGTCTACCAACACATTTTGTGTTTGAATTTAAGCGTGTTTTATTTTTCTTTCTAGCTGTCTTCAGGTAAAACATTTCTGGATTTTTATAAATGTTATAAATGTTGAAAGAAGAGGCACTGGTAAAGGAAAGGACACTTTATGGACATGACAGCTGCTGCTGATCGATAACCTCTGAAAGTGGAGTTTTTGGCGCGGCTTCGAAACAGTGGCAGAAACTAGTTAACCTAGGTTAGCGAGCTGTAGCTCAGTTCCCTCAGCAGACAGACCTTATATATCTCCACCCTGATTCATTTACACGGTAAAATCAGGTAAGACAGCTGGAGCTGTGAAAGTTATGTTCAGCAAAATAGATAACTTTACATAGTTTAACTAAAACTAACTCTTTCAGTTTTATACATAATCTCTCTCTGTCACTCACTCACTCACTCACTCACTCACTCACTCACTCACTCACTCACTCACTCACACACACACACACACACACACACACACACACTCTCTTTATTTTGTCCTGTTTCTTCTTTTTCTTCTTCTTGTTCATCCTCTCTCTCTCTTACACACACACACACTCTCTCTCTTTATTTTTTCTTCTCTCTCTCTCTCTCCCTCTCTCTCTCTCTCTCTCTCTCTCTCTCTCTCTCTCTCTGTTCTGTAGGATGGTGGGGAATAAATATGTCTTTCAAATATCTGGAGTCAAGAATCTCCAACAGAAAAGAGAGCTTCTTCAAGGCATCAGGCGGCTACGTGGGAAGTATATAGGAGGCTCCGTGAGTACTTATAGTGCTATAGAAAAGCACTAAAAAGAAAGCTGTATGTACACGATAAGCTCAGTGGTTCTCAAACCACTCCTCGAGGCCCCCACACAGTCCAACTTTTTCGCTCTGTTCCGACTCAGCACAAAGGGATGGAGCAGAGTGTCAGGTGGACCATGATGACCGGTTTAAAAACCACTGATGTAGCTCACCTGCTTGTACCGAGCTTTATATCCAAATTAAGACATCACTTCTAGGGTCAGTGCCTAGACCTCCAGTCTCATGTTTGAAAGCTGTATGTTCTTTTGGCCTTTAGCTTATACCTTCTTTGTCTTTAACAATCTAGCAGTGTCCTTCAAGAGCTCCGCTTACAGTATCATGTGCTTTACACTGGCAAATAACACAGACAACCCACCTGACTTATTGTATTCTCTCAAAAAAGATGAAGTGGTAGTGATTAGCCCTGAAAAATGACCCTAATTGCTTGCCGATGCTAAGGTGTATTTTTGTCTTTGTAATTTTGTCCTTGCCCTCAATACTATCTTAATATAGTTACTGACTGCTCTCCCTACTAATTGAAGTCTCGAGGGTGTAGAATCCACCTCGTAGTTCTTGACCTTTGGCTCAGCTCTTCTACTGACAGGTTAAACACCAGAATAGTAAGGTGACTTTGTGTGTTAGAAAATTCAGATGCTGTTTTTCTACTCATGTGCAAGAAGTAATGGCCCATTGTGTTGCAGGAATACCAAGAGGGGGTGACCCATCTTATAGTGACCAGTCCTTTAGCGAGTGAGAAGTTCATTGCAGCATGTGCTGGAGGTCAGTGATGATGATTACAACCTTACTGATAATGATGTGTTATAAATGTAAGTAATCCTGGACAAAAGCATAGGTTAAAAGATCGAGGATGCCATTTCTCCATCTGATAGGTTGCAGCCAAAAACTAAAAAATGTTTTTATATTGAGGGATACAACATTTGTGTTCTATTTATTTTTTCTGTTATTTATTTTACATTGTATAAAATAGATCCTATAGTATGTATTTCATCAGAAATCTGGGGTACTGTTTTTAAATTAAAAAGAAGTATGTATTAGTTAATAGAAAAACCCAATAGACGTTTTGTTCATCAGAATCTTTCAAAATAGAATCAATTATTTTCCCCACCCATAAATGCAAGTGTAATTAAGCCAGATTATTAGTATTAAGCCATGGTTGTCTATCGTTGTTCACTAACCTGTTTAACCTTTTGCTCTTCCTTTTAGGGAAGTGGATAGTAACTCCAGAGTTTGTGCTGGACAGTGTTAAACACCAGGCATGGCTCTCAGAAGCCTCTTATGAGTTAAACCTCTGTGCTAACCTTAAGGCTCCTGCGATTACCAACCCTCTTCAGAAATGGAGGGAGAAAGTATCCAGAGGCTTAGTGTCTGGAGCTTTCCAGGTCAGGGATTGTAGTGTTGCATAACTGACAAACCAAACGAAAATCCTAAGTACAAATCATAATTATTTGAGGTGTCTTAAAATGTCATGTCTCTATTTTATTAGGGCTGGGTTGTGTGTCTTGATATTGAAGATACTGGTAGAAGAGGCATGTTTGAAAGGTGAGAACATGCAAAAAAGTGAAAGAACTTCCAGTAAATACATGTATTGATTTAGTGAAAATGTATAAATATAAAAAAATATTAACTGTTTATCGCTGCTGTGCATGTGCTGGTTTCAGTATTTTTCTGCCCACAGAATACTGAAAGCAGGGAAGGCTGTGGTCTGCACTGACAAGTCGGCTACACAGGCTGTAACACATGTGTTTACCAAAGATGGAAGCAAGATGTCGAAAAATGTCAGAGCACCCTACCACACCCTCAGCTTCATCGCTCATCATCTCTTTGGGGTAATCTTTGCTCTTGATATGAATTACAAATAATATATAATAGTCAGTCACTGATTATTTTACTGTGTGCTGTGAGCGCCCTGACCAATCGCAGATGTTTTTTGGGTGTTTGAATTGTTCAAGAAATTCACATGATCCAAGAAGCATAAATAGTTCCATTACCTGAAAGTAGTCCTGGTTTCAGTTCATTTGCACATACAGCTGTGAGTTACATTGTGAGCTGTAGCATAAACAGAAAATCAGCATCAGAAGTAGTATTTTCTTAGATGTAGTTAAATGTTCAGTCATCGTGAGGTCTTGTTACACTTTTGATTGGTGTGGATGAAAAACAATGGATAATATTTGAAAGCATAAATGACAAAATGACATCGGGTCATATTAAATACCCTGGAAAGGCATAAAAGTGGACGTGGATTTCCCAAGAAGCTACGACAAGGTATCTCAAATATGTAGACTCTAAGTACACCCTGTTCTGCTAAAGGTGTCACCAGCACCTCATGTTAAAAAGATTGGGTCTGTAAAACTGTGACTTGGTTTGAAAAAGCCGTCTTTTCTTTGTCTCACCCTCTGATGCAAATAGAAACTGTTTGTAGAAAGTCATTCAGAGTGGTTCAATGTGAAATGCTCCATGTTGTAAGGCAAAAAGTGCTCAAAGAAAACACCCCGCCCCCTCTATTTACCTCTATTTTGTCAATATCAATATTCCATATAGAATCAGAAGGCATGTGTAGGTTCACTGGTCATTTTGAATAGTAAATAAAATGTCCACAACACACATACAGATATCTCAACTCCTGATTTCTATCATCACCTTTGTAAAGAAATCCAGGTTGTTTCTCTACAATGAACCATTTCACATCTAACTACTCTGAATGACTTTGCTTACATCTCAGTGATAGGACTGGGGATTGGTGGAGTTCCCCGTCAACACTAATCATCATGCTGTAACAAGACTATATAACTAAACCTGTCCTTGTTCTGCTTACAGTCTCTTTGCTCAAGTTTGAACTGGTCCATTAATTTGGACAAACCTAAATTCCAAGAGAACTTCATGCAAGTGGAGGCAACTGAGGACAGTTCACTTAAAATGGAGGAGGAATCTATGGACGTAATGTATAACTTACTTCTCTTTGAGCTAGAGGAAAAGCTCAAAGACTACGTTATGAAAATGGAGGTGAGCTCATAAGTAATTTAGTAATTATATTTAATTGCATCTTTTCAAAGGTCAAACTTGATGCAGAAAATTGGAAGGACACAGTTGTCATAATCATCATTGATTTGCCATAATACATGACCTGACAATGACCTTTTCATTGCAGCTGCGAAAGAGGAAGCTGCTAAAAGTCCCAGAGCTTTTCAACTACTATATGCCCGTCTTTCCAACTCAGGTGAATAAATCTGCCTAAATCCTATTAATATGTCCACCATCTGTGAGTTTCACTGCGAGGCAAAATGAACATTAGGCTCATGAAGTGACTCGGGTCATTCAATTTCTTTTGTGTCACCGCTAGCGCTGTTAGTGCCTCCTTTTGTGACGGATGCATTATGTTCAGGTCAGCTGATTTAAGTAAGGTGGTTTGATTGGTCGCCTCATGATTGGCTTGCCCATTAAAGAAACACAGGTGTCCTTCTGCTCTCTTCTCTGGTGTGTTCCTGAAAGGTTGCTGGTTTGGAGCAGTCACTGTATCCTCTACCACACTCTAGTAACCCAAACCCCAAACAGGCTCTGACTGACTGTGCCAGTGTTGACCCTGAAAACACAATCCTGTTCACCTTCCCCCTCTAATTTCCTCCTTCTCTGTTTTTCGCCACAGGTTGCAACGGTGGATTTCAGTAACGTTCGCAGCTTGGTGGAATGTGGCCTCTTCCCTCAGGCTCTGGAAGATGTGCAGTGCTCCCTGCAGCCCGGGGTGCTTCCTCCAGCCTCCGTTCTCCATGCATGTATGCAGCATGCCCTACATGTATGTATACCAACACCACAGTTGGACCTCTTCTGCTTCTCCAAGTCCATAGGAGAAAAGAACCATTTCAGGCACTATCTTAAACATTTATATTTATATGTAGGGTATTTATAATAGGCTCTGAGCCAGAGCAGCAGAAGCGCTTTGTCTGCTGTGTTTTTGAAGGGGAATTCCACCTAATTTTCCGAATTTTCTGCATGATTCTGCCTTTGTAATGTAAACAAAGTCATTCTGAATGGTTTGATCTGAAGTGATCTGTTCTAGTGGAACTTACTGACTCAGACTTTTTTTTCAGTGGTGATGATAGGAAACTGGGGTTGTGATGTCCACAACACAAATATAGCCATTATTATTTACTATCAAAAATGGGTCTTCTGAGGTTTTATTTGCAGGAATAATATAAAATAATTGGGAAAACATTTTCTCCCTGCATGTACTTCTCTGCCGTGAATGTATTAAAAATACATTTTAGCCTAAAATCTTATCTTAAAACTATTCCACAACAATGTCTCTGACATGGTGTAATTGTTCGCATTTTGTAAACATTAGCTTTCTGTGAGGGAGCCTTTAGAGGCAAAACCAAGTGAGGAATATCTCCCACACTACTGTGACTGTGAGTTATGAATATTAAAGATTACTCGTCATGTCACGCTGCACTGTACGTAGGCCATACCCCTACATCTGTTGAAAATTCGAATGTGGTCATGCATCATTGAAGTGTTTGCCACTGGAGTGCATCTTCAAGCTAGTGCAAATAGACCAGAGTCTAGAGCAGGGGTCATTCGTTTTGGTCCTGGAAGCCAAGCCAAGCACAGTTTAGCGATTTCCCTGCTTAATCATGCCTGATATAACTCATCATTTTACACTGTGAAGCTGATTTCAAAACAAGCTTCTATTTTTTTTGCTGTTTTGAACTTCTGATCATCATTAATACCATGAATTCAAGATGCCATTGCCATGATCTACTAAAGCTGAAAAATTCATAGATTTCTCTTCTGTTTGTGCCACAAAATGCAAGCAAATAACTGCATCAGAATGTGCTTCACACTAGGGGTGGGCAATATGGCAAAAATATCATATTACAGTGTTTAAACTATCTCAGTACATTGGACAGTAAAGGCATTATTGCACTCCCTGTAAACAGTTATAGAAACTCTAGTAGCACACAAAAAGAACATGGACGTGCATGAAGGCAAAGGTAAGATTTCCAGGTTTAGTTAGTATATTTGAGCATGAAAATCACCAAAATCAATCAATCAGTATTGTTATTGTGATAAATTACATCGCAATGTCACAAAGCTTTTCTGAACATATTGTAGATAGCACAAGTGCTTCCCAACTGCATATTTGATAACAAAAAGAGCATAATAATCCAGTTGTATCACATTTAGTGCAGCAGAGAATTTGAAATATTGTATATAAATCATTGTATTCATAGTTTTTGATAGCATTTAAAAAAAATACTCCACTGCTTTGTCTTTTCCAATTTATCAGTGGTACATAGGAACTCTGCTGAACTCTTACTGAAAAATTTTCGCAATAGATAGCTGGCCACTCACTCTAAAACTCCTATATTCCTGCAGGGAGAAGCACAGTCATACTTCCTCAGCATGCTCAGCACTGTTCTGAATGACATACTGCGTAACAATCCTACCTGGAGCTCTCCTGGGAGCGTCAAATACTTCCTCCAGATCCTGCAGTGCCCACAGTGTAAAAATGGAGTCTGGCCACTCCTACAAACATCAGTGAGGTAAAATATGTATATGTAGACATAATCCATGTCACGTAATTCATAAACACATGGCTGGAGTATGAATGTATTTAGATGACCAGAACTGACCTTCTGTTCCTTTTTGACTCAAGGTTTTGCTTGTCAAGCGCAGCTACCTGTCACTCACTACCTAGCCCCGCCCCTCCAGAGCTGCTCCGCTTCCATGGTAACCTGCAGGCGTTCTTTCTCAGGCTGTTTCAGCTGGAACTCCGTGCTGCTAGCTCACGGTAAGAGTCAGAAAAGTAGCAGCTTCTGCGATGGATGGATGGATGGATGGATGGATGGATGGATGGATGGGGAAATGTAGCAGTATGAATAATACTGCTAAATAATAATGCTAATAATAAAAAGAGAATGCTATTTATGTAGCTCTCAAGCTATAAGGTTTTCTATAAGATCAATTAAGTGAGAGAGAGAGAGAGTGCGTGTGTGTGTGTGTGTGTGTGTGTGTGCGTGTGTGTTTGTGTGTGTGTGTGGGCAGATATTGAATTGTGGTATCAGAAAGATTCAAGCTTAGTAAAGAGCATTGAGTAGGTGGAAGTGAGTCTTGTGATGTGTGCAGTGGGGGAGGCTCGCGGACGTCTGTGCTCTACAGCATGTTCTGGAACGTGTGGGAGAAGTCAACACTGAGCTCCAGGGCCCTGCAGCAGCTGGCTGAACTGCTGGTAGAGGCCGTGCTCTGGGGTCTCCACTCTACTCAGGTGGGGGGAATCAGATTCTCACCAAATGGTGTTTCTTTAAGACATATCATTGCTGTCATATCAAAACCTTGTAACTGTTATTTATTTATTTTTATATACCATTTGAAAACACCAGCTGCCATGTACATTATATGAACCTTTTATTGCAAATTGACCTACAGTCCTGTAATCCACAGTGTGTGGAAAAACTAATAAAATAGAACACAGTATTACATTGAAAAAGGTATCTAAACACAATATTTTACGTTTTGCCTTATGAACTTGATCATTAATCGTAAATATATGCCAAGTCCAAATTTGATGCCCTGCAACACATTCCAAAAAGATGGGACAGGAGCATATTTACCACTGTGTTACATCACCTTTCCTTTTAACAGCACTTAATAAACATTTGTGGACTGAAGACTTTCTGATTACACAGCCATGTTGTAGTAATACATGCAGAGTATTCCTTGCCATTGTCATGTTGAAATCTAGAAGACAACATATGTTGCTCCAAATGTGTTTGACATTAGCGGTGCCTTCACAGATGTGGAAATTACCCGCTAATACCCTCCTATACCATGACAGACCCAGGCTTTTGAACTCCACACTAGTAACAATCTGGATATTTCTTTAATTCTTTGGCCTGGAGAGCACACGGTCTATTATTTCCTTACACGATTTGAAAGGTGGACTCGTCAGACCAAAATACATGTTTCCACTCTGTTTCCATCAGTCCATTTCAGATGAGCTTTAGACCGGAGAAGTGTCTGGATGTTAGTGATAAGAGTTTCACCGTGCAGTATATAGTCTTAACCTGCATTTGTGGATGCTGTGACAATCTGTGTTTCTTGACAAGAGGTTTTCCAAAGTATTCCCAAGCCCATGTAGTAATATCAATCACAGAAATATGCCAGTTCTGAGGGGTCGACGGTCATGGGCATTCAGTTGTGGTTTCGGCCTTGCCCTTTACACACAGAGATTTTTTTCAGATTACCTCAATATTGTGATGTTATTACACTGAGGGTGAATTTCTTGCAACCGCTTGCTGAAGAACATTTATTTTTAAACTGTTGGATTTCTTTGCAGATGACCCATCCTTGATCATAATGGATGATACAGGTCTAGGCCTATCCTGGATACATCTTGTATACCCAAAGACGGTTGCCTTACCTGTTTAAGATCTCTATGAAAATTGCGCAATGTTCCTATTGTTAAATTGCCCATGTCCCAATTTTTTTGGAATCTTTTGTATGCATCAATTTCAGAATGAGCATATATTTACAAAAAACAGTGAAGCTGAAGTTTAAAGGATGTTCAGTCCTTTGTCCCTGGTGCTCTGTGTTGATCCTTTAGGAGGGGAAAGGGAGACTGCTGGCCACGTTGCAGGAGATCCTGGCTGTAGTGGTGGAGTACTGGGCTCAAGAGCATAGTAAGCTCAACAGCCGTCTGGTGGACAAAGGCTTCCAGGACTTGGCGGAGTACATAGCCATCCTGAGCCAAGGTAACATTCGTTAGCCCATTTTCCACAGTAAGAGGCCAGTAAGGCCATGTAGGATCACTAAGGGTGTAGTGGTTCAGTATCCTCAAATACCCCATTATCTGTTACATATCTCAACTTGTGACAATTAGATGTTGTGCTGTAACAATAGTTTCCAAAATATTGGCATGTTATGTTGCCCCTGTATCTGTGCTGCCTATGAAAGTAAGTAAAATTTACATTCACCAGTTTAATCCAGGCATCTGCATCAGGCTAATATCAGCAGAAAATGCTGGACTGGATGTCAGTGAAAAATGAGTTGATGAATTCAATCCAGTTCAATAATTTATCTACCTCATAACAACACACACTCACATTGTGTGATGCGATGATGTTAGCTGCATTTCTTCCTGTGGGGTAGTAGTGTTTGAATAGTTTGAGTGTGATAGCCTACTTGTAGATCCTCATCTTAAGTGTAGTGCTTCAGTTAAAAGGCTTATTTTGAAGCATAGCAGTTTCTAAAGGAAAAGAAATATCTGATTGGTATAGGCCCAAGGTTGCAATAACAGTATCAGAAAAGAAAAACTGGTATCATTCCACATCTAGTTTAAACGTATAGTTCCTCCTTCTCTCTTCCTTTCATACTCTCTTTCTTTCAGACCTTCATCCGGACACTCTGAAAGAGCTGGTTCCTGCCCTCCCCTCTCCTCGGCTCAGGATGCTCATTGCTGACGCCATCTACAGAAACATCTGCTCCAGAAATGGCCTGTTCATCCACCCAGAGCCCCTCTCTCTGCTCAAAATAGTATGGCCTAGTGATTGTAGAACCTAGAATGATAAATCAGACATTGGATCATTGAATTTTACAATTCAGTCTTTGTATGGTTTCACTTCCTCTTAAACTGCAAAGGATGCTAAATATGATCTGGGTACTTCTCAAGGTATAAAGAGTAGGGTTGCACTATGTAAGAGGTTGGAATGGGACAGAATACAGGAGTTCATAATATGTATTCATTAAAGCAGCATAATGCGAGAATTGGTATTTTTTTGCTCGTAGGTTCCCCCTACAGTTGCGGAATGTATTTCACTTTTACACCACTGCTGCAAATACAAATCCCCCCCACTTTGAGCGCCCTTCATGGATAGCTGTATATGTGCATTTGTTGACAATCTGAAGGATACAGAATCATAGTAAAACACACTCAGCACACCAAGTCCACAATGATTGCTAAGAGGGCTCATTTGCAGGCATGTAGGCGTATAGACGCTACAGATGGCACTTGCGATAGACACAAACAAAATTGTGAGTGTAATCTGTAGTGTCCATACACCTACAGGTGTGCAAATGAGCTCTCTTACCAATCTCTGTGGACCTATACGGTGTGCTGAGTGTTTACTAATCACAGATGAGTTTTTGTGGATGTTGATCAATTAAGGTAAATTATTTGGTCAAAATAATGCAAGACGGTATTGATTCACCAGTGTCTTTTGAATACATTGGAAGACAGTTTCAACTTTTACCACAATGTTAGTATTTTGTCCATATTGTGCAGCCCTACTACAGAGGAAGACAGAGTGATTTTTAAAGTGCATTGTTCATGTGTTTTGCAGGTTTCCTCCTATCTGAAAGCCCTGGGGCAGTTGTGTGGGCGCACACTCATGCATGCACACAATCGCAGGGCAGAGAGAAGCATCTCCAGCAGCTCAGATAGTCAGGTGTCAAACATAGGGTGAGTAATACACATACATACACAGGGCCACCTGGTTATAGATGGAAACCTAGCTTGGGGGACAACAACAGAGCACAAGGCTGTGCAACATGCTTACGTCACTGTAGATCAATGACTGAGGTAGAGGTGGGTGGGGAGTGATAGCAGGAGGGAAAGAGAGATATGGGAGAAACCCCACAGTTATATTTATCGACACAGGCAGCTGTTTTTTCCCTGTCCCCCCTGCTACTGTTGACACTGCTTATTGGCGACATGCTGGGCAGCACTGGGGGCACACACACACACACACACACACACACACACACACACACACACACACACTGCCAGGTTCTGTGCAAGAAATAGCAGTAATTAGAAACCTTACCTTCAGTCTCTGTCATAGCATTTGACTCTAAGGATGCACCAATTCAAGTACTTTCTCCTCTGATACTGATTCTCATATCTGAGCTCATGATACTGGCTATAGATGACATAATATGACTTTTTGTTTTCCAATACCTTTATTAAAACTTTGAGTATTGACCAATACCAATGTCAAGCCAATTTTTTTTCTTGAATTGCTACTAAGCTTTACACTGACTTTTTTTATTTGAAGCACTTAAGATGAGCATCTGAATTTCATCCTCAGACTACTCCAAAAAAAGAAATATGCAGATAACAAAATCATGTCACACAGTGTGTCTTAGAGCTATTTGAGGTTAGATTTGTCACAGGATTGGATCAGATTAATTCCTTCTTTCTCTATCCAATCCAGCAGTTTGTGCTGAAATTGGCATGATACTGATACCCATTGGTGCCACTCATGTTTTGTGTTTTGTATTCTAAAATTTGACAAAGAATGACTAAGAAACAGCATCAAATATGGATCAGTCATGTCCGACTAATATATCGAGTTTGTTCAGTAAGGTAAATATCATTGCTAATAACAGTTATATCAGAATATCCGGTTGGGGTATCACTAATTTTATATAATCTGCATCAGCAACAAATTGTCTTTAAAAATGCCAGCTTACTTCTCTCCAAGTCTTTCTTCAAATAATCTTACCCTTAATTACATTCGATGACAGACACCCTCTTCATTGTCCCTCAGCTGTCCTTTTCGATCTTCTCTGAACCATGATTACGGTATATTACTAATGATACAACCACCCATCACTGACACTATTAGAACAGGCGACGTACATCTCCAACCCAGTGAAGGCAAAACTGTGGAGTGAGTGTTCTGGGTGTCTGTAATGGAGTCATTGTAGCTCATCATGGGGTATTAGTGGGGGTTAAGATGGCTAATGGAGAGAGATGGGGTCCTCTCTTACTGGCCTGGGCTAGACTGTGCTCTGCTTGAGTCTGAAGGCCTTGGGGAGACGTGCTGTAATTGAGCTTGTGTTTCACTCCTCCAGGCCTAATCAGCCAGTGATTATTGCTTTTTTTGAGTCTCTCAGCTTTAGAGATGTGGGCATTCCACTCAGAGCCTTAAAACAAACTCTGAGACATAGCAGTGGCCAATTAAACAGAGGCCTTTGTGCTTTTGAGTATTCTAATAGAAACTGATTTGTGTAATTTGAATAACTTAAATAACTCATGAAACTGTTAAACTACAAGCCTGAAGCAGATAATGTGGCAGATTTTATAGCATGATGTTATAACACCATTTAGAAGTTAGAATGTCTGTTTTCGTAAGACCCATGACATAGATGCAGAAGAATTACACCCTGTGGGTTTCACAGTGACCATTTATTTATATCAATACGTACTGTATTTGCTAATGAGTACTTTTTTAAAAAAAAAGCTATAATATATAAGTTTAGGAGATTTGGAGACCTCTCTGGTGGAAATGTGTAATTGCACGGAACTAGAGGAAGAAAATTTTATAATGTTGGTTGTGCTTCAGACCACTTCTACATGTAGATGAATCTGATGATTGAGAGTGCATTGAAAGAACTCAGTCGAAGCTTGTTGAAGGACTGGTCTTCCAAGGATGTAAGTGATTTATATACTATTGCCATCAAATCTTCATCAGTATAATGTTGATTTGCATTTGAAACCTAAACACTGAGTCGGATCTTATTTTTGTGCCTGTGTGGGTCACGTTAATATGTAAAGATCTGAATGACATGGTCAGAAAAACTCTTGCAAAATCTGTCCCCACACCTCTGACTTTCAGATCACAGTTTCAGGCTTTACAGGATGACTTGCAGCAGTCACTTTTTTCCTCCTGACTTAGTAATGCTGCTTCTTTCAGTTTTAACGAAAAAAAAAAAAACTCACGTAGTGCAGCTGTCATACTGTTATGCACCTTGGCCATTTTGCTCTAGACTTTTGTTCAGATATTTTAAATGTACTGCCAAGCTGGTTCTTCTGTAACCCAGATGCACTCTTTTCCAAATAAAACACAGCAGAATTTCAATAAATTAGTGCATATGGGTTATGAAAAAGTACATAGTCTTGTTTTAGTTTATAAGATGCTGCTGATGTTGATCACTGGCTGTAGAGGTAGTAGATGTGGAAGCAACTGACATTGTTCCATCTCTCTTACACACACACACAGACACACAGAAACAGCATGGAAACAAAGGCACACACATTCACACGCAGATGTTTACTCCTCCCCTCTAATAGGAAGTTAAGTGCCTGTGTGTATGTTTGTACTGCAGTGCTGGGAGTGCGCGACTTGCTTCTGAACAAGCCAATTATGAGCGAAGGAGAGCTGTTTGTTGTGGGATTCTGGCCCTCTCTCTCTCTGGCAGGCCTGCGTCTCACAGTGCTGGGAGAGGACATGACAGCACTGTGCTATTAGCATGCATGGGCTAGCAGGAGCCTTCACTTTTCTCCTTGCTTAATTGGCATTGGCTGTTTGCGGTCAGCGTTCCTGTGTATTTTAGTATTGCAGCATATGGGGGTTAAAAACAACAAATTGTGATGCGCTCAGCTTACCAGAGTTGGGAAACTATTTGTTTTACTATCAAAACTGCATTGAAATGAGAAGAAGCATCTGAAATCTCAGAATGAAACGTTTTATTTCACCCATATGCATTGTGTGTATGTATTAGACCTGCACAATGTGTCATCTGTTAGTCATTATTGTGAAATTGGCCTTTGCATGACTGATGTTGCAGAAGGCTGCAATGTAAAAATGAGCCCTCTAACTAATCACAGTGTTGTTTACTGTGTGCTGTGAGCATCCTGACCAGTCTTTGCTCCAGATGAGTGTTTACACAGTGTTTTGATTAGTCATGCTATTCAAATGATACAACAAAAATGCATTATTTTGGAGGCCATTCTTTAAGTCTCTTGTACAAGTGACATTCATGTCCTGCTCACTTCTGTCAGAACAATATAGGCTGAACCGCCAAATTTGAACACAAAACACAAAAATCATCATGGTTAAAAAAACTAATATGTGTAAAATACATAGTTTATAAAGTAATCAATGTAAACCAGTAATATTTCTGGGAAGCTCTGCTCCATGCAATAGTGTTTGTTATTTGAGACTTTGGATTCAAGTTTGTTATATCCGACAGTCACATTTAACTATGCACATTTGATAACTGACAAAAAATAGAACTGTCAAGTACTATATAAGTAAAACTATCACATTGTGAAATAAAACTGTAAGATAAACACTGCTGTCCCAATGTTTAGAATCACTTGCTATATTAAAGGGCCCATATCCTCCTTTCAGTGCTTAGAATTAAACAGGCTGTTTCAGTTACTGTCCCTTAAAGACTGATTTAAGAGAAATGAGCTCTCTTCTGATCTGTTCTGTATTGTACCTCATTCAAAAAGCACTCAGAGTTGAAACACTCCCTAGACCTTCAATATGAATGAGTGGGGCTAAACTGCTGTAGGCTGAACAGGCTGAACAGGCTGATATACACCGATCAGCCATAACATTAAAACTGCCTCCTTTTTTCTACACTCGCTGTCCATTTTATCACTTCCACTTACCATAGAGATGCACTTGGTGGTTCTTTGATCTGTAGACTGTAGTCCGTCTTTTTCTCTGCCTACTTGTTAGCCCCTTTTAACTTGTTCTACAATGGTCAGGACCTCCACTGGATCCCCACAGGTCAGATATTTGGGTGGTGGATCATTCTAAGCTCAGCAGTGACACTGACATGGTGGTGGCATGTTAGTGTGTGTTGTGCTAGTATGAGTGGATCAAACACAGCAGTGCTGCTAGAGTTTTTAAACACCCCAGTGTCACTGATGGACTGAGAATAGTCCACCAGCAGTGTCCTCTGACCACAGATGAAGGACTCGAGGATGACCATCACAAACTGTGTGGCAGCAGACTCTGACTTCACATGTACAAGGTGACCAACAAGGTAGGTCTGTCTAATGGAGTGGCAGTGAGCGGACACTGTGTTTAAAAACTCCTGCAGAACTGCTGTGTCTGATCCACTGATAACAGCGGTCCGTCACTCTGATACCTGCTCTATGGTGGTCCTGTGGGAGTCCTGACCACTGAAGAACAGGGTGAAAGAGGGCTAACAAAGTATGCAGACAAATGGAGGAACTATAGTCTGTAATTGTAGAACTACAGTGTGTGCCTATACGGTGATCTTAGCTGATAAAATGGAAAGTGAATGTAGAAACAAGAAGGTTTTAATGTTATGTGAAAGAGTTTGTTCTTGTTCCATCACAGAAGCAGTGAATTCAACATATGCTGTTTTTGCAGCTTAATTTCCATATACAGACCGTATGGTGGGACTTTGTTTTTCTGTGGTATTGGCCCTTTAATAATTTATGCTATTTTATATGCAACTTCAGATTTAGATCTTAGATTTAACTCTCATAAACTGGACACTAAAGTGTCAGTATTTCGGGGATTTTGAGTTATTATACTTTAAATTCTATAGTGTAAATTTCAATTTATAACATTTCTGTCATGATATCTGCTTTGGTAAATATATATTTGAGGCATTCATCGTCTTAGACACAATTTTTTTGGTTAAGTGGTTTTATACTGTCATTGAACTGTAGTAGAAATATGAAATTTAAAATTATTTTGGCTAATATCATGTATTTGCTTTTCTTTACCTTCTTCTATTCATAGTTGGTATCAGTAACAACATTTTTGTTTCGGTTGGGCCTTACGTTCTAGTATGTACTCCTCCTTCATTTCCTCCTCCTCCTTCTTCCCAGAACGAGTGTTCTCTCCCATCACCTTTTCCACCCACAGCAGTGACTCAGACAGGAACACAGTTCCACTCTTCCTAACCCATCTCAACCGATCCACCCAGCAGTGGAGGAGCACTCAGAAGGCCATTTATCCACAGCTCCTTATAGACTAGGCCGTGGACTCCAGTGTGGAAGAGTGCCACCAGGCCCTTTAGCTGGCTGTCTCTTTGGATAAGAGCGCCCTTCGAGTAGTCCCAGTGCGCTCTACCGGTTGTTAGCCTCTAAAAGGGGGGATGCACTTTGATGCCTGTGTCTCCACTTTGGCCTGACAAGATGCTGCTCTCTGGCTGTTTGAGTGATACCGATCTAATGACATCTCTGGGCCTATTTGTAGTGATGTGCTGTGGGGTTTTTGGGGCAGTGCACACTTTCGGTGCAGGTTTTTGACACTTCAGAGCAGACTTTTTTCCTTGTGAGATGTTTGATGTTCCAGATGTTCTTGCTGATCAAATGATGCAGCGAAGTTGAAGCAGTAGAATCCTTCTTGCTGTCTTTAGCTCTTCTTTTGTCTCTGTCTTCTACTTGAAATTTTCTCTTTTTTCTCTTTCTCTCACTCTTCCCTCATTCTTTCGCTTTCTTTTTTCTCTCTCCTTCTTTCATTCTTTAGTTTTTCTCTCTATCTCTTACTTTCTTTTCTCCCTTTTTCATTAATTCCATCTGTCTTTCAGTCTCTGTTGCATTTTCTCTTTTCTTTCTTCTTTCTTTATCGCTGTCTCTCCTCACTCTTTCTTTTGCTCGCTTTCTCAATCATTTTTGTCTTTCGCTGTGTTGCACTTTCTCTTTTCTGCCTCTTTCTTTCTGTCTCTCCTTTCTCTTTGTCTTTCACTTTATCATTTTCTTTCGCTCTCACTTGTTTGTTCTCTCTCTCTATCTCTCTATATCCCACATGCTTTCTCTTCTCACTCTCTTATTCTTTTCCCTTTTTCCATCTCTCTTTTTCTCTCTCTCTCTCTCTCTCTCTCCTCTCTCTTTCCATCTCTCTCTCTTTCTCTTTCTCTCTTTCCATCTCTCTCTCTCTCTCTCTGCTAAAGCCTCCTCTGAGAGTTGTCTTGTTTTTTGTGCTGTATGTGTGTTTTGTGTTCAGAGAGAAAGAGCGAGTGGGCGGCTCAGGCTCGGGGAAGGAGAACATCCCGAGAGGTTTCCACAGAGTCAATCCTGCAGGTAAGAGCACAACACGCACACTCATAATCATAACCATAATCTCTGTCTGCTCCTCCACACCAGGCATGCTCAGACTCGCTCATTATTTCTCAGAGTTCATGAAACATCAGCCTGATCACCACAGGGCTTTGTCCTTTTCTGTATTTCCACAGTTACCTTTCAGATTTGATCGCTTATGGACCTTTTAAGTGAACAGCTTTTAGACAGTACTTATTTACTGTCCTTCATTCACAGATGTTTTTTTTGGTTTATTAGAGGAAAAAAAAAAACAAACATTGGCCTATCAGAATCCCAAACTGCACCAGCAGGGTCAGAAGTACCCCACAAACACAAACACTGTATGCTATAACTCGTAGCGCTGGAATTTACATGCACTCAGTATATGCCTTTATTGATTTGGTGAAGGAGTGGAAAGAGGGAGAAAAAGGGAAAATGGGAAAAAGGGAAAAAGAAACACATACAAACACAACACTTGTCAGATCCCCAGTTTAGGAATATTAAACACTGCAATTAGGATTCCGCTGTGAGGAGAGAGGGCGAGAGAGAGAGAGGGAGGAAAAGAGTGAGCACTAGCTTGTGGCTGGAAGTTTTGGTAATTAGGAGGCTAGCACTCTGAGTGAACCCACCGAGGTGTCAGCGCTCATCTTCTCTCCACCTGATCAGAAAAGACCCCCACGCCAGAGCAGGGAGCGGGGGAGGGCACGGAAGGGAGAGCGATCGAGAGAGTGAGAGAGAGAAAGAGAGGGAGAGAGAGAGAGACAGCCCTGCTTCCAGGAGACTGCAGGCTGCTGCTGCTCCTTGCCTTGTGTTGTTTTTGCGCTACGTGTTCCCTATACTGATGTGCTGGGACATCAATTTTTGATGATGCATCCACAGGCTCTCAGCCATATACTGTATTTTTGAAGGTAGACAGACGGTGCAGTGCTGCTCGCACTGTGTGCAGGTCCACGGTGCCTTGTTAACTTCATCCTGAGCCGTCTGACCACAGAATGCCCTCTGCTGATACTTCGCTTAGACAGCAAGTGATGATAATATATGTACTTGTTCTGTAGGTAAATTTGTGTGTATTTTTTTTTATTGTATTTTATACTGCTCTTGACCTCTATTAGAGGTGTTCTGAAGTGTTGTAACCCATTAAACTCTAGGCTCATACTTAAGGCTTATTATTCACGAGGGCTGCTGCTGTCGAGTAACATACCAATTGTTTTGAGTCATCAGTTTTCTAAAAAGGCCATACAATAATGGACCAATACTGAACAATAGAAAGCCATGCATAGCCCTTCAAAGATTCCAGACACTTTACTGAAAAAAGATGAACACTGGAGCTTTTAAAAGTTCACTAGAAAGTGAAAAATAAAATCAGTATGTGGCAAAAAATGCATATACATGCATGTGTCTGTTTCTTACTCTGAGCAAGACCAGTAAAAGAATTTAAAAGACCCATATTAAGGCTCTGCCCGTTCACATTTGAAGTTGTAAGGAGTTTTTCAGCCCGGGCTTCTTTTGAACAAAGCACAATGTAGGGTAGCCAGTCAGAATGGATGTTATTTACATATCAGTCTAAAAGGCGCAGTAATGAAAACAGCCTGTTTAATTCTAAATGATAAAGAGGGGTTGGAAAATAGTCATATAAAAATTAATTATTCCTATTTTGGCACACAAAACTAGACAAATGTTGTGTAAAACAAGAAAAATGTGAGATATGGTACCCTTTAACCTCTTAAAATCTCAGGCTTATTACATACTAAGGCTTAATATTCAGTAACAATAGGGACTTCAGTGCAAACTGGCTGAGCTATTCTCAGGTTATAGAAGTGTGTCATAAACTTTGGGCCTACCAGTGGGCCCTGGCCATTTAAGGGGTCAGTATGCATAGTCATCATGCAAACTGCCAACTTACTACTGATTTAATGAGGCAAATTTTAATCTTTCTTTTTTAATTCATAGAAGCTGCTATGAATTATAAGATAACTAGTATAAAACTAATGAGTTATGTAGGTATAAGAGTGAGTGAGAGATCGTTATGTAAGCCCACAGATTGGTTAATTGCAAAGATTTATTTCAGGGTTATTTTCTATTTGAGATCAAATGAATTTTAATTGGTTAATCATTTAAAATTTTATTTTGCTACTTCTTGTTTTGCTAATCAGTACTTGCCTGTAGCTCCACCAAGACACATTTCCTGTAAAGCTTGGCATAATTTTTGTAATATTGGTCGTAATTGACAGGTGATCAAGGCAAAATTATGCTCTAATAGCTCAAGAACACTTTTAGTCCACTTCTGACAAATAGCTCCCTCCTTTAAATCATTAGCTAACTTCCAGCTGAGCTGTCATGTCTAGCATTACACATCATGCAAGCAAACACTCCTCCAGACAGGACAAAAAATCCACATATTTGACAACTCTACTTAAGAGCGCAGTGTTCAGTAGTTGGGGAATTTATAGAAAAAGACAGGACAGATTTATCCTTTCCGTGCTTGTAAATGCTGAGTATGCAATTATCCTTATAATGGAGGCGTTGTGTCCAAATTGGAGCCATTAAAATGATTTAACTGGCTGAAGATTGGGTCTGGCATTTGTGAGGATGTGTACACACTGCGAGTTAAGGAATGTTTAATCACTGGGTTTTAGAGCCTATTAGCAAGAGAAAAAGGACCACGGCAAGCCGAGAGCAGCCATGATGCCAAGCTAGTCATTAAGTCATAGTTTTATTGCCTTCTGTTTGTTTCATTTCTTTACAATCAACTGCTAATTAGCTTGGTTCGTTTTAAGCCTTTTTAAAGAATTATTTTCACACTTTTTGGTTGGTTGGTGGTTGCTTGCACTGTTTTTACTAGAGTCACAATTTGCAGTGAACATATAATGAAGAGATTTGTTGCATTTTTCTGCTTTTCAAAAGTGGAATAAGTGCTTCTCTTGGACCAATTGCACCAATCCAAAAATTGGATTTTGTGGTGTTCTTGGAAGCCTCCAATCAG